GGAGGTGTTCCTTTATTCTTTTGTGTGGGCGCCGACTCGTGCGACCAATATAGACTGCTCCACAGGAGCAAGTAAAGGAGTATGTGCACATGGAGGTGGTCTGAGTCAGTAACTTGTCCTTACCTTCCCCATGTAAGACCGGGTTGATTGAGAACAACACTCAAACTCTCCCTACTGGGAAAGTTTGTGATACGGCCTTGACAAGGCGTCTTTTTAGGATTTCACCTGCCGCGTCTCCTCGAAATGGGACTTTACGAAATAGGGTTTTCTTCTCCATAGTAAGTATTGTGGGTCTTAGTTGTTTGGCAGCCATATTCCTGGTAATTTGGATATGTCTTTACTACCACAACCCCGTTGGACTAGTCTCCGATCAGGGAGAGAAGTGAAAACGCTGGTCGGAGGATCGCATTTTGATCAGAGCAAACGAAGCATGGTAAAGGCAGGCAGACCGGGACTGCACAGTCAGTGTATACCTGATTCGACCCCCTAAACGGGCCACTTGGTAGATGTACTGGATCAGATCAGGGCATATCAGGCCTTATTTGAGTTGCGATTGGTTAACAAACACCAAATGCGGGAGGGAATCGGGCCCAGGCACCAGCCAACTACGGCCTTTATAGAACACCAGTTAATCGGAAGTCAGTCAGGTGTGGCGGCTCCCCCGCGCCTCCCACCTGCGCCTGATTCCGCCTCCGGTTAGGTTGACTCTGTCTTGACACCGGGCAAGAGGTGAAGGAGTGAGCGCGACAGATGCAACGCAAGTCTACCATTCATCACCACACTGTGAAGCACATGCTGGGCATCCTCGGAATCGATGGTCGAACTGTTGAGTCGTTGACCAGCCAGAGGGTAGCCACGTCAAATTCAGAATTTATTGATTATTAGGGATGTTTGCGAGTGACAAGAGGGCGTCAAACTGCAAAGGTGTTTACATGCCAGGCCGTATTATAACGTGTGAACATCACGTGGTAGACAAAGGCAATGACTGCAGGCGTTTGGTGGTGGGTGTTTGAGGTACTACAAGACGATAAAGTGCACAGTAGATGTACGATCACATGAAAGGCGAACAGAAAATCCCAAAATGTGTTTTCGATCAAAAAAAATAAATTAAATGGGATTTTGATATTAATTATTTGCAGCACAAACGCCAGATACGTTGTCATCAAACACATTGATAAAGATTGTTTTTCCGTGTAGAATATATTTTCGAAAGTTTGTGATTGTTTCGCAGTATAGCTCCACCATAGCTTAAATAGGGTGTACGCGCATATACGCCCTACAATTGTCTGGGACATATACCGCATAAAACGACCAAGAAGTTTAAAAATGTATAGAGACCATCCAATATGAACCTAGGATAATAGGTTTTTTATTATGGTATTCGATCTTCGCAAGCGACCGTGTGTCCAACATCATGACGGGCGAAGGGATGGTGCTATGAATGTGAATTATTTTTTAATGGTAGTATACCCGTATTGCATTCCCACCACAGTCTCTACTCTGTCACTCACCAGAAACCCGTGCCAGGAGAATTTTCAAAAAGAATAGGGGCCAGATCTGACGCAGTAGCTTATACAATTTAACAGTCCGTCTACGCATGTCAGACACGGCCCTTTGCGCACAGTGATGGTTTAAATGCGCCTTCATATTAAGCATTATGCGCCGAAGCTGCCAAAATCGACCTCACTCTCTCCAGGTACCACTGCCTTGTCTGAACCAATTGGACGACTGATGCGGAGATGAGGCGCAAGTGACTGACAGATCGAGACAGTTCGTCTGCGCGTGCCACACGCGACCTGCCCTCTGTCTATCACACCTTGACTTCACACCAAGTCACCATCCATGCATCACTACGCTGTGGAGTACACGGTGGGCACTGTCGAAATTGAGGGCCGAACTGTTAAGTCATAGGCGGATCAGAGGGTAACCAAGTCAACATCAGAATTTATTGATTCAGAAGAAGAAGAAGATGCGCACAGGCCAAAAGCAACCATCAGGCGCCGGGTCATGAGACTGAAAGACCCACTGCCACGGCAGAAAATGGCTGAAGTCGTTTACCGGATCTGGTGCAGTTATGGACAAGGCAACTACGTCGGAGAAACCGGGAGATTCCTCCGGGCGCA